ATGGATGGAGCCTTTGGTGGTTTACGTTTCCCCTGTCTCAAGGGATGGCTCGGGCTGTCTGGAGCTGGGCTGTGCCAGCCGGGGTCACCTTCAGAGCCCCTTAGGGCTGGTGCTTGGGTCCTGTGAGCATCGTCTGCCTTGGCTAGACAGCCAGCCATTGCACACCATCCTCTGGCACGGTCCCCGAGGAGAAGTGTCCCAATGTCCCTGCGTGTGCAGGCAGGGCAGGAGCTGCCCAGGAGGGACATATGTGTGTGGACAGAGCTGTTTTGTGACACATACATGACAGCGGGAATGGAAAATCTGATTTTGGTCATGTTTTAATAGGGGATTGAACCACAGGCTAAGCCGTGCTCATTTTAAAAGTGTTATCAGGAAACTTAATTAAAAAAAAAAAAAAAAAGGAAAAGAAACAGCAACATTGTTGTGTTGCAGTAGAATTTGCTCAGGTGTCTGTGCTCCCTTCTTCCCCCAGATGTACTGCTGGGCCCACAGGACCAGGGTGTTTTATGGGAGGCCTCCACAGGCTGTCAGCAAGTGATCTAGTTGGTTGGCTCTGAACGTCTCTTGGAGTCCTGGAGTCTCTGTCTCTCCCAAATGCAGAGCCAGTGATTTAGGAGGGAGGTGTTGGCAGAGCCAGGGGGGAGCCATGCAGGAGCTGGCTTTTGAATCCAGCGCGTGGCCACCAGGTCTGTTCTCTGCTGCTGTGGGTCATGAGCTCCTCGAAGTACTGTGGTGATGCCCGGTGTGGAGACAGCGGAGACGACGTGCCGCCATACTGGCATTGCCAAACCGGTGCCTGATGCTTGGGAGGCTCCACACCCACCCAGCTGCCGTGCAGCATCTCCTGGCCTTGCACCGTGCTGAGCTAATAACGTGGGGCTAACGGCATTGGGCTTCTGGATCTTGAACAAAAATGTCCTGGCAGGAGCAGGACCTATATAAGTTAGTTGTTATTGCTAAACAAAAGAGGCATGCTCGTTTCGGCTCCATTCAAAACAAAAACCGTTGGGTTTGCCAAGTTGCGGGGGGAGGAAGAGAGAGAGAAAATCTGTAGGAAACAAACAAACAAAGCCCTGGATCTGGGTTGGTGCTTTTCCCTGGACCCAGGTTTCAATAAGCAAGTGCATTTTCCAGGCACACAGATGTTTCCACGGAGCAGGAGCATTTTGCTCCATCTTTGCACAGCCAGGCCACCGCAAAATATTTAAATACTGTTGAGGTCTGTGCACCTCCAGATGGGTGACTGGTGCTTAGGCTGCTCCCGTGAGTTCTTCCGCCTCGCAGGGGTGCTGAGCACAGCGGTTTGGGGTGTGCCTTTTGAGGGGTTGGGAAATCCCACTCTTTTGGAAGAGCTTCCCTCCTCATAGAATCATAGAATCATAGAACAATTCAGATTGGAAAAGACCCTTGGGATCATCAAGTCCAACCATTGACCCTATTTCCCTGCTCCTGAAAAATTGCTTATGCCCCAGCAGAAAGAGTGGGAAGGGGAGGTACACCAGCAGCCACTCTTTGTGCTGGACACTGCGCTTCTGCTCCATGTCCCCGCCAGCTGAGAGGAGCTCGTCTGGGCGTTAGGAGCTCGAGTGGGCTCTGCCAGAGAACATTGGGTGCCCAAGTGTTTGTGGCTGTGATGTGTGATTTCCTTGTGTGAGCCGAGGCTGAGCGTGGCCGAGTGTGCCCAGACGAGGAACAACCCCTCGCGCTCAGATTTCTTTGGAAGCCGCACGTATGTTGACTGACCTCGAGGTGAAACTTTGGGGAGAGGTTGGCCAGGTTGTGTGGCTTTCCCTGATAACTGGTTTTTAGGCTTCTCCTATGCTTTGCTTGGGTTTTTGGTTTTTTTTTTTGATAACCCTATGGATTGAATCAAACTGAGGTTCAGGAAAACATCCCTAGTCCCAGCTCAGGCTGCCACTGGTGGGACATGACGTGAGATGACCACCTTAGTCTCCAGCAGCCACCTCTGGTGACCTCCAGGTAGGATGGTCGTTGCCTGCCTGTCCAGGTACCTCCTGAAATGGAAGTATGTGGTGGTGGGGAGGACAAAACCCACAGTCTGAGTGGGGTTTGGACATCTGGTGCAGCAGGTGCCCAGTGTGAGCTGTCCCCATGGGTGCTTGGGGAAGGACAGCCGGGTGTCCCCGGGCTCGGGGTCCGGGCTCTGACAGGGCAGCCCTGTCTGACGTGGTCTCGTTCTCTGCTGAAGGCTCAGAGCTGCTACAGCCTTAACCAGAATTCACTGAAAATCGTATAATTGTGACAATTATTAATGTTGCTTACTAGACTAAGATCTGCAGCACTGGAAAAATAAAAAACCCAGAGTATGCAGGAACCACCATGTTAGAAAGTATCTGGTGGGTTTGCTTATGTCATTGAGAAAGGAGGGAGAAAACGAAGCCGTCTTACGGACATCCATCCTCGCATGCTTTTTTAAAATCTCTTTACATCGGCTTTGAGAAATAGGTCTTGTGATGAGTTGGGATGAGTTAGGCCAGCCCTAACACATCCTCTTGCACGACCTCAGCCTTTTCCATGGAGAGGGTGATGGAGTTTGCTGGTACATGGATTTCTGATGGATTTCCACCCTAATGTTCACAAACACATCCCACGGCCAGAAAACTGAACTGCAGGCAAAGCACCCGACCCCTGCCACAGTGTTTGCAGTAGGTAGGTGAATAATTAGCAACAGGAACTGATTGTGGTCAAGATAAATTTAGTTCAGTTGCACTGGGACTATAGAGGCAGAGGAGGTGGGACCTCATCCCGACACCTCCTCACAGGACGGGGGGCTTTGCCATGGGGTGAGCTGATGTTGGCCGGTCGTACCTTGAGGGCACGATATCTGTGGGTGTTGTTTTCAGCTATCAGTTGCTCCGCGGCAAAGTTTAGGTCAAGATAAATCAAGACTATTTCTCTGAGTCCAGATGACTCATAACCACAGGGCAGGAAACTCTTTTATCTTTGGGGCAGCCAGTTTAATATAGATAGATGTTCGCTCCTGAGCTCTGAATAATTTCCGTCTCTTTACTTGTCATTAAAAGCAAATCAGATGAGGGAAAATAATGAGATATTTCTCTGTGTCGCCTCTGTTTCTACCATCTCTGAGAGAACTTCCTCCAAACTGTGCAGCCTGCCTGTACTGGATCATTTGCCATATATTTTAACTGGCAGAAAAAAGTGCTTCTGCTCCAAAGCACCACTCCTTTTTTAAACCTGGATTCTGCAGACATGGATGGAGCAGGGATCTGTTACAACAGGGTCTGCTCCAGCTTCCAGAGGCATATTTTTGGGGTCTTCCTTCCTTTCCTGATATGAGGGAGAAGTGTTGCCTTTTTGGATGAAGGGGAAACTGTAGTGGAATTAGGCATCTTGCTGATGAGCCTGTTAAAAGAGTCATTGTCACCTCTGAGCAGCAGCTGGAGGTGGAGGGAGGAGGACTTGGGTGGCAGGGAGCTCTGAAACACAGGAGGAAGGGCAAGGTTTAGCTGGAGAGTCTCTTGAGTCATTTATTTCTGTTGCCTGAGTATGTCAGATAGCACTTTGCTTCTCGGGCTTGGTCTGTGGGTCAGGACCTGCCTTCCTGGTTGTCTCTTCCTGCCAGAGTGCCCTGCCTGCGCAGGCATGGGTCTCTTTTCTCTCTTAATTCCCATCCACTGGTGACAGCAGAGCTGTTCTGATGTCTGGTGTCTTGTACTTGCCATTTGTAGAGGCTCGTGCGTGCTGTCTGTGGAGCCTTTGGCATGAGGAGCCCTTGTCAGTGGCCGTGCCAGGAGCTGCTGTGTGTCCGCTATGAAACTCGATGTTCTCAGGCTACCCCAGCTGAAAGCTGGTTCTCCAGCCCATCCCTGCGTCATGCAGGTCTCTCCCACCGTGGGGATGCTGGTGGAGTGCTGCTTCTCTTCCTCCCCACCAGAACCAGGAGGACTCTGGCTGCTCACCAACCTCTGCATGGTTGCTTAGGGGGCTCTTGCCACCTGAAGCTCATGTGGTTGGTGGAATGTAGATCCGTAAAGCGCTACGTTCAGGTAACACCCATCCCTGAAGGAATCCAGGGCAGCAGCTTGACACCGTGGCTTTGGCCACATTGTAGGCTGAAGCCAGTGAGATGAGCGATTGGCAGGAAGGGACAGGTCCCCCTCCAAAAAGCCAGGAGAAGATGCTAGCTTTCCTAGTGATGTATACGTCATGGCCGTTTAAAGCAGAAATCAAAATTGGAGTGGAGAAAAGATTTTGTAGCTTAATCATTGTGGATGGAGAAGGTGAGGAGCAGCTGTGCAGCCTGAATCTGCCAGTGAGCGGGAGACCGGGGATCGCCGGTCCTCATCGGGACCTGGTCTTTTCTCAGTGCCACTAGAAATGGTGTTTTATCCATTCCCCGCTCTGACTTCACTTTTGCCAGATGCCCTTTGCTAGAACAGAGACCCGGAAGCAAGTCACGTACCCAAGAGGGCTGAGGGATGGCAAGAAGCGCGGGAGACGGGTTCCTGCTGGAAGGATGGATGTGGAGAGGGTGCGCGAGGCTGTCCCAAGCCAAGTGCCTCCTGAGGGCTCCGGGGTGGTCAGTCCCTGCAGCCCCCACTGCCAAGGGGGTCTGGGCAGCTCATCTCTGGAGGAGCTGGGTGGTGGAGATTGAGAGTAAGGAGAGTTTTCCCCGGGGTGATGGATGAGGAGTGGTTGCAGAGCTGAGCAGCTTTAAGCTGCTTGGGGCATTCCCAGCTCAAGGTCAGTGCAGGGCTAGACCGGCTCTTGGGTCAGGAAGAAAATGTTTCACCTGCAGGGTTCACACGAGCCCCTTGGGACCCCGCAGGGCCAGCAGCAGTGACGGGCAGGAGGAGCGGACTGGCCTTGGGTGAGGGCACCAGCATCCACCTCGCAGCCCCTCGCATCAAAGCTGCCCTTCACACTGCCCCGTCTCTCCTGAGTCTCGCCCTCATTCCAACACAGCAGAGGTGCCTCTGTGCTTCCTTTCCCCACACCTCCTTGCCCTTTCCCAGGTCATCCTCCCCTAAAATGACGCAGCAGATGCGGGACCTGAAGCTGGCGCAGGCCAGGAAGCCGCCGGGCCCTTCCTCACCGAATGCGGCCAAGAGGCTCTACCGAAACCTGTCGGGGAAATTCCGCGTCAACTACACGTCCTTCGACGAGGGCAGCCTGGCAGGACGGGGCGAGAAGGAGAAGCTCCGCAAGTCTTACCTGGTCAGTGCCCGCTGGCTTCACTGAGTGCTGCTGTGGCTGAGAAGGTGGGGATGGAGGGCTCATGCGTGGGTGATGTTGCCTGCAAAGAACTGATGTTCCCAAGCCTTCAGGAGTAGAGCTTCCCTCCCTGGTTTGGATTTGTGGGGTGCTGGTGAGGGGCTAGGGTGCTTGGTGGGGTGGAGGAGGGTGCCCCATGCTCGGCCAACCTGTGTTTCTCCTTCCACCCAGTTCCAGAGCAATGCTGCCCTCTTCGAGGCTGTGGAGCTGCAGGACTTAGACAGGGTCCAGGAGCTGCTGAAGCAGTACAGCCCTGAGGAGCTGGATCTCAACACCCCCAACAGCGAGGGACTACTGCCCCTGGACATAGCCATCATGACCAACAATGCTCCCATCGCCAGGGCGCTGCTACAGGCAGGAGCGAAGGAGAGCCCACACTGTGAGTTGGTGTGGGGGAAGCCGTGATCATCACCTGGGTATTCAGCCCAGTGGAGCGGGACATCCTGGTCAGCAGGATCCTGCTGGGGAGGTGGTCACTGGGCTCTGGGAAACTGGTGCAAGCTGTAGCAGGGGCTCAGGTGGAGCACAGGAGCAGGTCATGGAGGGGAGGATGGGGTCTCGGGGTAAGGACTTGGTGCCAGCAGAGCCTGGACTTGCCCTAACAACCTTCTCTTCCCTCCTTCTGGCCACCCTGCCGGCACCCATGGCCATGCCCACCCACCAACCTCAACAGTCGTGAGCCTGGAAAGCCGCTCACTGCACCTCTCCACGCTGGTGCGGGAAGCGGAGCAGCGCGTCAACGAGCTGACGGCGCAGGTGGTCAACGAGGCGCCCAACGCCGACTGCTCTGAGAAGGAGAAGCAGCTCAAGGCCTGGGAATGGCGATACCGGCTGTACAAGCGCATGAAGGCAGGGTTTGAGCACGCCCGTGAGTGCCCATAGGAGGGCCTGGGGGGGTCTGGGGGGCAGCCCCCAGCACTGGGGCAAGGAGCTGGACTGTGCATGGTCTGGGCATGGGGCTGCACCAGCACCCGTCAGAGGATCCCCATAGCCAGATGGGGGCAGAGGGGTGAGCACTCCAGGAATGTGTCCCTGGATGCAGGGGTGACCTAGGAGGGACACTGAGGAATTCAGAGCGACCGTCTCGCTGTAGTGGTCCCTGCATTTTCTGCCCCCAGGAGCGCCAGATGCCCCCACCAATGTCCACCTCTCGGTGGCCAGCAGCTCCTCGGTGCAGGTGACCTTCTGGGAGCCCCTGAGCGTCAATTCGGCTGTTGTCACCAAGTACAAAGGTAAGGACCAGAGGGACACGAAGTCATGGCAAGCACCTCGGTGTGTGGGGTGGGGGGATGTGCTCACCCTGTATATGCCAGGCCAGCCTGGCAGGGGCATGGGGAGGACTGCCCAGCTCCTGTCAAGCCACCTTTGTACGGGGCAGCCCGGCCACCCTCAGACAGTCTGAGCTGGGCTGAAGCACCATCCTGCACCAAGGCAGAACTCAGGGTGCAGCTTCTTTGCTGCACACTTGGGGGGCTTTGCCATCCTGCCACTCCAGCACCCCTCACCCACTTACACCAGATAGCTTTGGCTTCTGGGAGAATTTCCCCCATCCACAACTCCTGACCCATCGCTTGAGGGTGCTGACCCTCTCTGATGTGGTTTGGTGAGGAGGACCGCAGCTCCCCACGCTGCCTCCCCTGTTGCAGGTCCCCCTCCCCGTCTTCTCTGTGCTGCCTCCAGCTCTGGTGCTGCCAGCCCAGGAAACCTGTCCCCACTCTGGGACCACCCGGCACCTTGGGGTCTCTCTCTTTTCAGTGGAGTGGAGCTGCTCCCCAACCTTCTCACCACTGCTGGGAGAGGCCGTGATCGACCAGCTGAAGGACCTGCACTTCACCATCCAGGGCCTGGTGTCGGTGAGCTCTTGGGGTGCCTCACGGGGGTCTGGGCTGCAGTGGGGAGAGCCCACAACAGGGAAAAGCTGCTGGCCAGCGTACACCCCATGGGGTCATTCCCTGCAGCCAATGCAGGGAGGGCACAGGGCATCATTTTGAGCAGGAGGAATAGGATCATGCTGCCGATGCGTGTCGCATTCAGCATGGTCTGTGGGCAGAGCTACGAGCGTGGAGCCAAGAGAGGCATCTGTCTGTCCCCGTGCGGCTGCAGCCGCTCTGGTGGTGGGGAAACCCCCTGCGAGGGGGCCTGGGGACTCTCAGTGAAAGGCAGAATGGGCCCATTCACCAAGTGCCTGATTTATCCCCTGTCTCCCGCTCCTGTCTCCTCCCGTGCTCCTCCTGGGCAATAAATCAGCAGCTCGTTCCTCTGCCACCTGCGAGAGGCATCTGTCTGTCCCCGTGCGGCTGCAGCCGCTCTGGTGGTGGGGAAACCCCCTGCGAGGGGGCCTGGGGACTCTCAGTGAAAGGCAGAATGGGCCCATTCACCAAGTGCCTGATTTATCCCCTGTCTCCCGCTCCTGTCTCCTCCCGTGCTCCTCCTGGGCAATAAATCAGCAGCTCGTTCCTCTGCCACCTGCACAGATCACCCCCTCGCACCAGCCCCGTTGGAGAAAGGAGGGGGGACAACCAGCCCCGTCTCCATCTCCTGGAGCTCAGCAAGGTCATGGGCTGGTTGGAGCTGGGCCTCCCTGCTGTTTTATCTCCCTGAGAACTGCAGGGACCATGCTGCCTGTCAGCTGTCCCCCCACTCCAGGGCCTGCCCTCGGGCTGGAGTGGAGACTGGGGTGGGATGGAGCTTGGAATGGGAACGCGGGGAGGTGCTGGGATGAATGGGCTCGGGAGGTGCAGCGCTGAAGCCCCGGGGCAAGCAGGTGGGAACCA